AATTAGCTTGGTTTTCAGCAAAAGTGGAACACAAAGACAGAAAATTAAGTATTGATTTTCTTTTCTAATAAACAAGTGTTTTGTGTTCCAAAGGTATTATCTTTGTTTTATAAGAGAATATAATTTGCTCTGGGATTTAATTTCTACAGATGTGCCTGCTCACTCCATTTACTGGTGTGCTGGGAGCTGGTACCTCAGCATCAGCCAGGGAAACCACAGAGTAAGAGGTTGTGGGGTGTCTGCATATCGATAAGCAAGCTGTGCCAGCTTCACTCAGTCCTAATCCATAGACCAGAAAGCATGTCTAAGCATGTCTGCTAACTATTCTGGGTAGAATATTCCTACCATAAAGATGTAAAATCTCAGCAATTCTTCCTGGAAAGTCGGCAAATATCCGGGCGTATTGAAACAATAATCTAATTATCTCTTCCCTTTAGTCTCTCTCCAGTTGCTTCTTCCTGCCTGCCTTTCTTTCTTTTCTTGTGTGGGGGGAGGGGGGCGTGTGTGGGTGCACATGCATGTGTGTGTATGTGGACTACTTCAGCTGGCATTCTTTAGCTGTCATGCGTCTTGGTTTGTGTTTTGGTTTTGTTATTTGTTTGCTTTGGGCAGGATCTCTTACATGGAATTCAGGTAGGCTGGGCTGGCTGGCCAACAAGCCATGGACCCTTCTCCTCCTCTTCAGTCCTGAGATTATAAGAGTATGCCACTATGCCCAGCTTTCGTAAGTGGACTCTGGGGATTGAACTCAGGTCTTTGTGCTTATATGGCAAGCACTTTACCAACTGAGCCATTGCCTTTGCTCTCCATTTGTTTATTTTTAAATCACAAAATGAAATATATAACTCATTGAAAAGGTATCTGTGACTTTAAAATGAGATGAGCAAGTTTCTTATACTTACCGTCCAGCTCAATAGAACATTCTCAATGTGTTGATGTCACCTGCATTTTGATCCCCATCCTGACTGGTAATCTTAGCCATCTTCTTGAACTTTGTGCTAATCATATCCTTACATTCTTTGGATATTACCGTATGTATCCCTAATGTGCGTATCTGCGTGCTGATGTGTGCATTTGGCTTTTCATTCTGAGTGAGTGGCATCCTCCTTGCCTGGTGACTGGTTTTCCTTAGCGTGTATGTGAGGTTCATTCGTAGAGATCTGTGTAGCTCCAGTTACTTCCCTGACTGTTGTCATTCTTTCATTCATTCTTTCATCTGCTGAACACTCCGTTCTCCTGTGAACTTCATGCATCCTGGACAGGTGTCTGGGCTGTAGACTGTCGGTATCTTTAGCTCTGATAGGCAGTCCCTATTTGTTTTGTCCAGCTTGGTTTTCAGATGCACAAAGGCTTCTGCCCCTCCATAGCTTCATGGGGACTTGATATTGTCATTCTTCTAAACATTTGTGATAGGCTTTAAATGGTACATCAGTGTGGTTTTAATTTGTATTTTCCTTTTACTAATGTTGAGTATATATTTTAATATCTAAGGACCGTTTAGTTCTGATTTTTTTCTTTGCTCATTTCCTAGTACAGTGTTTGACAGTTGCTTACTAATATATAGGGTTTAGCACTTTGAAACTGTGAAGTAATAGCACATAAACGAAACTGTAAAGTCATACTTATTGTCTTAGTAGGAACTAAGGGCAGGAACCTGGAGTCAGGAGCTGGAGCACAGGCCATGCAGGATCACTGCTTACTGACTTGCTCCCCTGGCCCCTGCTCAGCCTGCTTTCTTATGCAACACAGGCCTACCTGCCCAGGGATGGCACCACCCACAGTGGGCTGGGCCCTCCCACATCACTCACAAGCCGGGCCTGGTGGCACACACCTTTGATCCCAGCACTTGGGAGGCTGAGACAAGTGGATTTCTGTGAGATCTAGGCCAGCCTGGTCTACATAGCGAGTTCCAGGCCAGCTGGGGCCATAGGGAGACCCTGTCTCAAAAAAGAGAAAAAAAGAAAAAAATACATATTTTCAAGGACCCTAGAGACACATCTCTCTTGAATTTATCCCCTTTTGGTCCAGAGAGAACTCTGGCCATTTTGAAAATGGCTTCTTTGCTTTCCTTGTTGGCTTACCACCCATGCACAGACCTTAAACAACAGAGATTGGTGGGCTGGGCCATAGGGAGACCCTGTCTCAAAAAAGAGAAAAAAAGAAAAAAATACATATTTTCAAGGACCCTAGAGACACATCTCTCTTGAATTTATCCCCTTTTGGTCCAGAGAGAACTCTGGCCATTTTGAAAATGGCTTCTTTGCTTTCCTTGTTGGCTTACCACCCATGCACAGACCTTAAACAACAGAGATTGGTGGGCTCTTTTGAACTTTACGTAATGAACATGCTTTTTTTCCCCGTTCTTTTGGTCAAAATGATATTTGTGAGACAGCACTTGACTTCATATTCTGTTTTAAAGTGCCCAGGATTTAGCAGTCTGTCTTACTTTATTCCTGCAACTTTGCCTGTATCCCAAATCTACATTGGGTCATTTGAGTTAAAATGTACATAAACCTACACAAAATAATAGTCAACTAAATTCACTCCTGTCTCCTATTTCAGCCGGTTACAAATGTCTGCATAAATTTTAGGTGAGCCAGGAGATTTGATTAAATTACCAATTAGTTGCTATGGTATCGAATTTATTTTTGTTTTGTTGCTACTTTTTTCCTGAACATTTTATGTTTGGCATAATCAGTAATTAACTTAACACACCCACACTTCCCATCTTGCACATCTAAGCTATAGTCAGCTCTCCTGTGCTGTTTTCTCCTCCGGAGGCACCTGGGAAGAACTTTGGGTCTTCTAGGCTCAGAAAACATAGAATAACTAAGTTATAAGTCATCAAATTTACTGCTCAAGACCATAGCACTTGGTGAAAACGAATAATTAGGGCCCAAGAATGTAGAGAACTATATAGAGGTAAACTCATTTTAAAAATCTGTCCTGGTACTCACTTAGTTTTCTTGTCCTCCGGCCCTTTTTCCTAAAACATTGTCTGCATTCAATTTATGCTATTTCAGCTGAACAATTACTGAAGGCCCAGGCAATGTTCCCTCACTGATTTAAAGAAGAAAAGAAGAAAAACAAGTTAAATTTATCTTATTCAGAATGAATTCATGGTCTGAAAAAGAAGGTGTGCATACAGACAGTGAACATAGAGAATAGAGCCAATCATTAAAGCTAGAGAAAAGCCGAAGTCACATGGGCATAATTAACCTGGAGTTCAAGGGGTTAAGGAAAGATGTCAAAGGAGAAGGTACACAGGTCGATTTTTTTAAAAGAGTGAATAGAAAACTTCCAACCAAGGGAAGCAAAATGAGTGAAAGGTCAGTTCAGGGAAAACTGTTAATCAAATCGATCATAGTATTTAATGATTGATAAACGGTAACTACAGATAACATCGCTTTAAGGTGAGTTCAAAGATCCAGTTCATCAGAACCTCTAAAACTGCATGATGTCACAGGCTCAGCCTCCTCACAACATCACTGTTCTCATGCCCAGTCTGAACCAGATGTCCAGGATGGTCTATCCCCTGTCCAGGAAGCTAAGAAACAGAAGTCAGAGAAGGTCAAGCATGCTCATTAACTACCTTTACAAACCCCCGAAGCTGACACATGACTCCCCTGGGGTTTCCTCAATGCCTGTGCACACATGTCGAACATAATAAATAAATGACAAAAATTTAAGATGCACTTGCCTCAGAAGTTATTCTTTTTCCGGGCTCTCTTCCAAATACTTAGATGTTACTAATTCATGAACTAGACAAATGATGGTGGCCACTAACTTCATCCTTGGGGACTCGGTTTCTTCATCTGCACAATGATGATGTTGAACTGGCTAAAAGCCTAAAGGTGTCATTCGGCTGTGGACTGATGTGACTGACTCATCAGATTGCTTGCCTGTGCTGGACTACAGCACAAACACCATCCTCTGGTGTCACCCAGGCTGCCATGCCTTCCCAATGGAAAAATATAACGGAGGCAAGATCTTAAAGTTTGAGAAAACACTGCCTAATTGCCTCATAATTCTTTTCACTTGTCAGCTGGAAACCTGGTTAGTATGGTCTGGTGGTATTAAACTTGGGCGAACTTACAGAGTGCCTTATTAAAGTAGAATGGGCTTTGCCAATTGCATTTCAGAATTACTTGAAAAGGTTTAACTTGGTGGAGAAGGATTACATTTGTTATATACATAAGCCTACGTGCAGGTAGCAGAGACCTCCCTTGAGTATTTTCCACTGTGATTGGCCAGGTACACAGCATTCCACATACAGCAGATTAGAACGACTCATTTCATTAGAGTCTTGGTAGCAGTGTGTGGTCCTGGCAGAAATCACACTTTGGAATGGCTCATTTCCTAGATCGAAATGCAGCTGAAGGTCGCAGCCTGAGGCCTCGGGGTCTGCAAGTCAGAGCAGGCAGGACCCAAGGATACTGCGAGGTTTTAGAAGCTGCCAAGGAGTATAGAATAGCAGTCGATCTGCTGAGGGTCAGCCTTTTGGAAAGACTGTTTGAATCCAAGATCCCAAATGCTTCACACAGACATGAAAGCACACAGGGACACAATTGGTAGAGTCGGTGTGTATTTTGGACCGGGTCAGTCTTATCTCCTTTGTGGTCCCTGCCAACTGGCAGCCATCCTCAAGGTCAGAGTCTTTTTTAAGCTAT